TTGTAAACTGTAGAACACTTTATCATGTTTATTTGTTGTAAACTGTACAACACTTTATCATGTTTATTTGTTGTAAACTGTACAACACTTGATATCAAATGCATTTATGAAATGTTTGCAGAATTACATGACTTCAGCTTTGATGTGGCAGTTACCAAGAGTGTTTTGTCAGAGTTGTGCATGACATCCTTGTCCCCTGTTTATATAAAAATCATTGTCACACAGCAGCATGCAGTTTTTATCATATTTTCCTGGGCTTCATAGTCATTGGGAAGTGTATGTTATCATATGTTTATGGGCTTCATAGTCATTGGGAAGTGTATGTTATCATATGTTTATGAGCTTCATAGTCATTGGGAAGTGTATGTTATCATATATTTATGGGCTTCATAGTCATTGGGAAGTGTATGTTATCATATGTTTATGGGCTCCATAGTAATTGGGAAGTGTATGTTATCATATGTGTATGGGCTTCATAGTCATTGGGAAGGGTATGTTATCATATGTGTATGGGCTTCATAGTCATTGGGAAGTGTATGTTATCGATCAGCAGTTGTGACTGTGAATACTCTACCTGCTGCATTACTTTAAGTTAATTGATGTCTGCTTGCTTGAATTATGTTTATAACATTTAATTGATGCCTGCTTGCTTGAATTATGTTTATAACATGTAATTGATGTCATCAAACGCAGGAAATAAATATCTGTCTATGTCAGAGACAGGCTCATTCTTTATTTATTTGTTATTGTTTTTGAAAAGTGTGTCGTAATACCAAGATCAAAATCAGTACATAAAATGCTGCCAAGACAAACGTCTAGTCTAGATCTGAAATCTGGATTATTAAGAAAAAAGAAAACACACACACACACACACACACACAGAGAGAGAGAGAGAGAGAGAGAGAGAGAGAGAGAACAAAACCTTTTTATAAACCTTTAGGACGGTCTTAAACTAAACCTTTGAACACATTAAAGATGAAAACAATTGAGAATGGAGAGTGAGAAGCAATAACAAAATGCAGAATCTGTTTAAATGAGTTCTAATTATTCTCATTTTGAAGGCAGTTTGCAGTAATAGGAACATATAGACAGAAAGGCAGATAATGAGGAAAAACTGCATAATCAGAATTTAAAAAAAAAGGTTGAAAATGAGTAGACTATGAGGCAGACCAAGAGACAAATGGTTAGATAATTTACAGTGGTTAGATAATTTACACTCAACCCTACAAATACTTTGAATTGCCAGCTGACTGACTTTCTACCCCACCAGGACATCACACAAGCGATAAACACCCGATGACACAATGTGCCACCACGTGGGTGAGGATCACTGTGGAGAGGTCCCAGAAACCGCGTTCAGCCTTTAGGCCATATTTGTGGGTAGGCTATATTGCGGCCCCTAGCAAGAGCCAGAGTAGGACTTCAAATAGCGAAAAATTTCATCCTAAAAAGGACGGAAAATATATGAATGTTGTAAGTTGCCAGATAGAAAGAAAAGGTTATTCACAGAGACGAATTCACCGACATGTGTCTTTTGGGAGCCTACATTGTGTCGAGGCAAGCCAGTTACTATGTGGTCAAATTCCCCCTGACAAAAATGATATTGTAAATGTTGACTTGGCCTCTCAAGTTGACCTAGCCTAATATGAGTAACCGAAAAAATGTTATGGTGTGATGTTAATCAGATGAATCTGAGTTGTGTGCAAATCTGTTTCACAGATGTGGCTTATTTATATGCAGACTGTTAGTTCCTTGTCTCTTAAGCAGATGCACTTGAATTTAAAGAAAGCCTCTAATTAGTGGACTTTTTTAAGACTTCGGACTAGACACTGTTGTCTTCGAGCACACTTGTACAGGATAGGCATAAAAGAATCTGCTGCCTGTGATTGTGGAGCAGAAAGACAGATCCCTGAGCACATACTGCACATACCTCTCCCAGCAAAGACTGTAGATCTGGCCCAAGGGAGGCACTTTGCAAGAGAAACTATGAGGGACCGGTGGCGACCTTAAACGCACAATCCTATTTGTGACCCAGACGGGACTCAATGTTTAGCATGACTGATGTCGAACGCAGAAGAAGAAGAAGTGGACTTTTACAACAGTAAGGCATTGGGTTTGTTCTCACTTTACCTACAGTGGGGCGCTAGAACCCACATGGGAACTGCTCATAAGTAAGGTCTTATGTTTCACACAGAGAATCCTGTCGTCAGATGTATTCAGCTCTATACTTGCCATAGGCATATATGTGTGTGTTGTCATGTTTGCAGTTTCGAATTGCAAGTCCATACATACATTTTATTCATATTTTGTCAGCGGCCGATGTGTTTAATGTTTAAGGGTGACCAGACATTCCGTTTTCACTGGGACACTACTTTTCTGGTCTCCCGGTCGCCTTGTTAGTAATCAAAAAAAAAAAAAAAACATTTTGTAAAATTCTGGAAAAAAGCTCTGTTTTCTTCCCCCTTTAATATCCAGAAACCATGAGTTGTTAACCCTTTGGCTCGTTACTATGGATATCGCAACCCTTCGGCCTTGATTCCATGATAGGTACCGTAAATCTGGGAGAAATGTGGCTTTTCTGCCTACCCCTGGGAGTGAACACGGACAAGGAGTTCGTGACCGCGATGTCATGTTTAACTAATCTCTGCACGCTCTCAGAATGAAGAAAGAGAGACAGACGGTCGAGACAGGCAATGCAATAAACACCACAAGGACAGCGAGGAAAAGGCAGACCCAGGGGCACTTGGAGGCGAACTTTTGAAGCTGAACTCAAGGCTACGTCAAGGACAAAACTGGAGATAGAGAGGATGGCTCAGGATCGAATTGAGTGACGACAGTTTGTCTTTGCCTTTTGTGCCCATGGGCGCGATGAGGATTGTCTTTGCACTGGAACCCACAGGGACAGAGAAAAAATACACGGAAAAAGGAGATAGAAGGTGAAGTTTAAAACATGGGGAGGCCATTGGGTGAGCTGCATGCAACAGCGAAAGTTTAGACGACCTGGTATAAATTGGTTGAGGGCCTATGCTCGGGAAAAAGGAAAATAAGGGGGGAAAATTAAATTATTTTGTATTTTTGTTTGTGTATATTAAATCCTCTGCCACTCGCTATAGTTCAGTGGTCGCCGAACATTTAGTGTTCACTGTTTGTACTGGTATCCAACAGGGAGAGTCAGCAAGAGAAAAGTAGGGCGAGAAACGAAAATCGAATATACAAACTTAAAAGTATTTACACAGTGGAAACGGGTATTTAAGGCTGGTCCGTGCAAATAGCAGAAATGGAGAGGAAACAAAATTACATGCAGACTTTAACGACAAAGCATCCTCATTTGCTGACACAATCTTTGTGGTGATTGACTAATCGCTGACAGTGAACTGTATTTCTGGAACCGAATAGTTCATGAACTGGTTGACTATAAATCGTATCTATTGATAATGATAATTTTTTAACTGAATAATTGCAACTGTTTATAAAGCTGAAAAGTGTGCATAATCACCTACTCATTACATCTTAAAGTAGGTTTATGTCTGTGTATGATTCCTGATAAATTATTCATTTATTAGTGACGGTAAAAAAACATTTTCCTTTCCCGAAAAATTATGAACTTGTCTTCCAGGTAGATCCAGGAAAAGTCCTGGAAAGTAGAAGCGGCCAGCGTGAGGCTGACCACATCGCTCAACAAGTGCCGATGGATCTATAAACATAGGTCTGGCTCTGTATGCCCAATCGGTCTGAAGGAACGGAAAAAGTTCCCCTTTTTAAAAAAACTCATTTATTGCAGTTTGCATCTATATGTAATATGAAGGACTAACTGATAGGCAGTGGATGTGTGGAAAATGTATTAATTGAAGGTCGCGTTTGAAAACCTCATTTTTTTTTTTTGGGTGGGTGGGGGGGGGGGGGGTGTTACCCCTTTATTTCCATCTTGTATGTGTTGCGAGTATAGTGTTTTTAGGTGTGTTGCTGTAGAAACAAAAATGCAACACTTAAAAGTGTAAGAGGGGCAGAAAGGTAAAGACAAAACACGGGAGGGGAGATGATGAAAGGTCGGGGGGGGGGGGGGGGACACCATTCATTTGTTTGTTTAAAGTTGTTCTCCAATGAGTTGTTATCTGATTGGTCAAAAAGTGTATGGTCAGTTGCCCGCAGATAGCGTCAAATGCCGCCATCTTGCTCAGATTTGTGTTGACCAGCTTACACACATTAATTCTTAGAGTATTTTAAAAGTAAAGATCCCTTTTTACGCCTTTAGGAGCATCGGGCATATGGGAAGGACATACATCCTGGTACCCATTTCAGGCTGGGTGGACCTGCGACGCCCCATACCACGATAAAAATCCACGCAGCCAGCAGTGGGTTTCGATCACGGAACGTTGCAATCACGAGTCGGACTCGTAACGCCTAAGCCACGGATGCCGCTCTTGGAGTATTTATTATAATGTATTTTACACTCGGTCAATTTTGTTTTAATATCTCGGCCCTGTGTGTGGATTTCAACACACGGACATCAGGTAATAGGAATAATAGTTTTTATTTGATTATTTTATATACCTCTTTAGATGGTTCAATGATATTAGACTGCACACTGTGAAACAGAGACAGTTCATTACAACATTTTACGAGACAAAATCGCTGATGTACGACAAACTTTGCTTATCTACCTTCAAGGCACGACCGTATCATCACTATTTAGCTGTCAACAGTCCACATCAGACTCTGTCAGTTACAGCAAAAGTTCAAGAAATGTTCATCGGATCTGCGTCTGCCTTCTACAGTCCTATAAATATGGCATAAACACTTTTTGTTGAACAAAACTGTACTGGAATATGAAACAGCAACTTTCTAGCTGAATACGTTAACCTGGAGGTTTGTATCCAAATTTTTGAGATGATGAAAGTGCATGAAATACAATGCCTAATCCACGAGCACTTGCTTACTGATTTTAAACTACTGATGTTGCATAACTGATTATAACACATTCAGTAATTACATTTGGAACCATGACTATGGAAAATTGTACGAACACCAGTAGCCATTTAAAACACGTCACACTTACAGATGTGTACGTATCAGTATTCGAAACTGTTCTACTGAGCATTTCTTTCGTCCTCAACTTGATCATCGTCATCAGTGTCTATCGTAGCCCCCGTCTGCACACGTTCTCAAACATCTTTGTGGTTGCGTTAGCCGTCAGTGATATACTCTTTGCTGCAGCCTATGAGATACCATCTGCAGCCGTTCTATACATTGCAAGTACACATCAGGAATTCCATTTCCCCCTAGCTTTGCAATGCATGTGTTTATATTTATCTTTTTGCAGCATGATCTGCAGTCGGTGTTGTCATTTGGTTGTTTCCGTTGAACGCTGGCTTTACATCGCCTGGCCGTTTGTGCATCCCAGAGTGATAACTACTAAATCAACCATCTGTTGTCTGATATTCGTATGGATGATATCCATGTTATCAGGCCTGCAGTCTATCACAGACTGTAGGTACAGTTATGTCGAGTTCATGATTGGTTATGCTACTGTGGATGCCAGTGTCCACTTTGTTGCAGGTGGGTTAATGTTGGCCATTTATGTCCACATCGGATATATCATTGGCCGACAAAGTGTGGCTATTTTTAAATCTCGACTGGCAGCCAATAGCAATGATACTGGTACCATAAATAGAAGAATTACATGCAATATTATTCGCTTGCCGGTTACTATATTCGGGACGTTCTTTTTGTTTGTAACTCCTTTCGTGATTGATAATTTTTACGTTTATGTAATAATCGGAAGCCCATCGTTTTACAGAAATAATATTGCTTATGATGTTCTTAGAGTAATATCATTGTTTCACACCTGGATCAATTTCTTCGTGTACGTGCTACAGGATAAAGATTTCAGGTCAGTTCTCAAATGCTGCTTGATAAAAATCGGAAAGGGAATTTTGCGTGGTAGAATTCACCCAATTATTAATTAAAAGAGACAAGTCTAAAACTGGGAAAGAAGCTACACACATCTAAAAATATTAGAAATATTTCACTAACAATCACCATGAGGCTGTCGTAATATGACATCTTGTGCTATTAGGTAATTTAATGAACTGGGGGAGGGGGGGGGGGTGGGGGATATTTCGACGTTTTATTGTTATTTAATCATTCAATAATTGGTGCCTGTGCGGAAAGAATTCAATAATTAAAATGTATAACTCGTAGAATCACTAATGTGGAAGTTTTGAAGAAATTAAGAATATTTAAAAGGTGAAGAAAAGACGCTGGCTATGGATAACACAAACGCTTAGAAAACAACAGGACGAAATAACTTGAATACCTTTACACTAAAGTACAGTCAACACAGACCTTCGATCTACCCACATGGTATGTGTCTGGTTGTACAGGCCTGTGTCAGATAGTGAACCGACATCCAAAAACACACTAAACCCAAACACCCACAGAGCACATACAACAATCTTTAGTGTGAAGCACAGACTAACATAAGACAGTTGACGTCATGAGATGTGGGTACCCTTACCCGAAATGTAGGCAGTGATGGCTTTACAAATCACCATGCACGCCTTCCTGTCCCCGCGGATAATGATTCAAAATTCTAGAAATTATTTTCTCATCATTAACGGCTATAACCTTTTGAAATTTTAAGATCCTCCTCCCCCCGCCCACCCACCCCACCCCCACATCAATTCCCTCAAATGAAATCTTGACTTTGGATGGTTTCATTGTCACTACGAATTGTTTGGTCTTTTTGATTACAACTATGCTGTGAAACACTACTGTTAACATTGTACATGTTATCAATATATATTGCAATATTAGAAATAATGTATACGGTTTTAAATTGATTTATTTGTTGTTAGTATTTAACCGTATGTGTAGTTCAACCTAAATATTTATGTCTGGAACAACAGAGAATACGTTATGACATTTAACACTTTTTTTGCTTTTCGTAGCCGCGGCATTCGCTCTGAAATTTTGACAGGTTCCCATGAACTCTGGAAAGCTGAAATGGGTGCAAGAATTTGTTTTGCTGGACAATATACCGTCATCATCCTGTAGCAGGCCCTTTGCCGAACGGCGCTCTCTTTACGGTATGCCTGAAAGAAAGTCTCTCGCCAGTTCTCCCAACTCATGTACTTTCATACTCAAGGAGTCATTTATATCCTGTGCCCATCTTCGTGTCGGTCGGCCCCTGCCCCTCCTTCCTGGTACCATGCCTTCTGCTATTATTTTTTCCAATCTGTCGTGGCGCTTGATATGACCAAAATATTTCAGTTTCCGAGACACAAGAGACTAGAGCGGCATAAAAAAGTAGTCAGAGAAGGAATTTAAAAAGATGAAGAACAGGGTGAGTTGCAGGCTATAGTAAACAGCAGGACAATTTGGTTTGATCTGGTTGAGGGCCTATGCTCCAGTAAGGGATATACTGTAGGACAGAAGATGAACACACGGCCAGAGTACCAGTCGGTCTGTAATGAGAATATAGGGCTAATATCATATACCTATGTATGGCGACATAAAGAACAAACACACACACACAAACACTCTCGCGCACCCAAACACATACATACGGAGTCGATCATATTATTTTGTTTGGAATTAAGCAAACAATTCGCCATTAAACGTTGACTTACGCAATTATCATTTTGAGAAAGGCAAGACGGACACGCATGGGAATGCTCCTATTGTTGTGATGTCAATTCTTGACTCAACTCAACTCAACTCATTTTGTGAAGGCATCCATGCACAAGACGACAGGCAAAACTTCAAACAGTACAGAAACAGGAGTCGTCCAGCAATTAACAGGTGGTAATTTTACGACTACCAAGAAATCAAAAGCTGTTGATTGTGCAGATTACAGAGCTATTCGCCTAATGAGTCACGTAACTAAGTTACTTTTGAAGATAATACAAGCAAGAATTCAAGATAAAATAGAGAAAGAAGTTTCTGATGAGCAATTTGGATTCCGTAAAAACAGTGGTACTCGAGAGGCCATAATTTGTCTAAAGATGCTGACTGAAAATTATATAGAAGTTCAGAAAAATATTTATGCATGTTTTATAGATTACAAAAAAAGCTTTCGACAGAGTGCAACATGAACAACTAATTGCAGCTCTTTAAAACATAGGACTAGATGGAAAGGATATCAGACTTATTAGAAACTTATACTGGGAGCAAGAAGCTACAGTGAGATACGACAACATCTGCTCACCCCAGATAGAGATCAAGAGAGGAGTAAGACAAGGATGTGTGCTGTCGCCTAGCCTTTTCAACTTATGTACAGAAACCATTTTTAAAGAAATTGTAGAACTACCAGGACTGCACATCAATGGTAGAATAATAAACAACCTGAGGTATGCTGCCGACACAGTGTTGCTAGCAGAGAGTGAGCAGGAGTTGCAAGACCTAGTGGAGCAAGTAAGCAGAAGGAGTGCAGAATTTTGTTTAGATATAAATTTGAAAAAGAAAAAAAAAAAACCATGATATTTAGCAAAGAAAATAATCAGCTTACAGTGAATATCACAGTGAACGGGGTGAAATTGGAACAAGTTAAAAATTTCTTATATCTTGGACAAATAATAACATGTGACGGCAGAAGTGAAACAGAAGTCAAGAAAAGAATAGGGATGGCCAAAAACATTTTCAACAACAAGCGAAAGTTACTGACATCAAGAGAAATAAGCAATACATTAAAAATGAGAATTGTCAAATGTTATATATTCTCAACCTTACTGTATGGCACAGAGACTTGGACAATAAACAAACAACTAGAAAATCGTATCAATTCTTTTGAGATGTGGATATACAGAAGATTAGATCGTATTTCATGGAAACAAAAGCTATCAAATACAGAGGTACTGAGGAAATTCAGAATGAAAAGAGAGCTGCTAGTTGAAATAAAAAAAGAGACAAGTGAAATATTTTGGCCACATTAAAAAACATAACAGTATTGTAAAGATCATCCTAGAGGGAAAGGTTTAAGGTAGGCGAGCAAAAGGCAGACAGCGTTACAAGTGGGAGGATAACATCAAGAGATGGACGAACAGCAGTATGAGTGAGTGTACATCAAGGGCAAGAGACAGGGCTTGTTGGAGATCCATTGCAGCCAACCTTCATTGTGGAGACGGCACCTGATTAATTGAATTTTACGAACAAATATCAGAGACGCTCGAAATTACTAAATACGAAGCGAACAGAAGGGCTCGTTCCAGAGATCTCTTCCTACCCTGACGCCGTGAGGAATTCCAGGAGTAGAGACAAGAAAAATACGAGTTTTACGATGGTTAATCTTTGATAATGTCCAAGTCTGGCACTCGTAGCACAGTCTTGGTATGAATATGTTGTTTATAATATGTTTCTTAGCGCTCATAATAATGAGCTCAAGTCTATCGAGATGTCACTGAGAGTCAAAGGGGTTCGCAGAGTGGCTTGCTTTCATATTTTTTTTTATGCATTCCCAGTTCTCTTCCCTTTTCACTTGCCGTTAACAAGTGCCAATTCATTTTTGAGTTTTCATTATTAGTATCAAGATCATTTTTAGTGCTTATGTGGGCTTTGATATTTTCTAGGCATGTTTCTTGTCGTGCCTAACTTGATAACTGTTTCTGTATTGGTTGATGCAGCGCCCGTTGTCTTGTGCATGGATGCCTTAACAAATTGATAATTGCGTATAAGACATGTTTTTGTCATGGTTCAGTTTTTCGCCTCGAAGTACAAATTTTGTTGACAAATTTTTTGCTTCATTCCAAACTAAATATTATGCTCTACATCTGTCTATTTGTGTTTAAGTGTTAGCGAGGGTGTGTGTGTGTGTGTGTGTGTGTGTGTGTGTGTGTGTGTGCATGTATGTGTGTGTTTGTACCTGTGTAACCTCTTCAGAATCCTGACTGGTGCCACTGAATTTCGTTCCCTGTGCTGGAAATTATACTATGTGGAAGTAGCGGTAGCGGAGTTGCTAGACCGATAAGAAGGTTTTGAGTTCGAATCCTTACCGAGATCAACTTAAATATTAAAAAAAAATAGTATTGGCTTTCCTGTCGTAACCTTAAGTAAGTCGAACAATCTAACAAACTTGTAAATGAAAAGTAAGTCATCTATGCTTGGGCAGATTTACGTGATGTTCACCAAAATGGTTTAGCATGGCACGCCACCAAGTAGCTCTGAAAATAACTCTTGCAGTGTTGGTGCGATCAGTGGAGACAGACCCAAAGAATGTCCCGACCTTCGACGAAGTCGTCTGCTAGCCAGCCAGTTTGCGACCCGTTCTCCGATATATCTAACACTAATTTGCCTATGAAACATAGCATAATGAGCCCGACGCATGAGTGGCTTGAAAAAGTCTTTTTGTTTTTTAAATGTCATCCGTCTGATTTATATTAGAATTTAAACAAGCCATCATTCATCAGAATGTGAACCGGCGTGGTGTGGCGACCGAACACTTGCATGAGGACTCGAAGGTCGTGGGTTCAAATCCACATCAAGTGGGATATTTATTTAAAATGACCCTGGCGCCCAAGTCGACACAAACTATAATAAGTATCAGGTAAAATGCTAGCATGTAGAGGCGGCCGGCGTGATGTTGCTCATATTTACCTACGGAGTGTCGATTGGTCTATAATTTACAGTTATAGCAACATATGCCCGGCTCTCTAGCGTAGTTGGCTAAACCGGACTGCGCGGAGACCGGGTGAAGAACTCCTGGGGGTAGGCAGAAAAGCCACATTTTCTCCCAGATTTACGGTATTTACAATGGAATCAAGGTCGAAAGGTTGCGATATCCATAATACCGAGCCTAAGGGTTAACAACTCATGGCTTCTGGATACTAAAACAAACAAACAAACAAACAATAGCAACATATACGCGATACACCTAAGTATGTTATGAGTTTGATAATCTTCGCAGCACTCAGGACACATCCACAGATGCTTAGATTCCCCCTTTAACATGTTTATCAGAGTCGCGCGGTTA